TTGAATGCCATTTTTATTCCTGCCTTGTTTAGAATTCTGCGTAAGGCTTCCGAGGTTCCTTCCTTGTATGGAATTACTACTGATGATTTAGATTCTTTATTGTTGGTGTCGTCATTAATATTATTATTATCATTATTATTGTTGTCATTATTATTGTTATTATCACTATCGCTACTATCATTATTTATTTTATTTTTACATTTCCTTACATATTTCCTGACTAATGTATCCGGGTAATTATTAAGTTTCAAAGCTTCTTCTATGTGTATCAGTTCATGTTTTAGATTTTATTTGGTAGTACTTAATTTTTGTGCTCTGCAAATACATGTAATAGGAGTGATTCAACACCTGTCCCCGATATCTGGAAAATGCTACTACCCATACGACAAATTGGAGAGAACAAAGAAAACTATAAAACTCAAGTGTCAAAGTCGTGTGATTACAATTGATGATATGATTATGAACAATAAATTTTGTTCGGAACGTCATCCAGTAAATAATACTGTTTCACTGTGTGATATATCTAATAAACAAACTAATATGGAATTACTTACTACCACAGTGCCCAAGTTTTACACATATATCAACTGACTTTGGGATACGAAAGTTAGACATTTCCCGTGTGTTTCTTAAGGGGGTTTAAATAGTAGTTCAAGGGATAGGTAATATTGGTAGAACATATGCGTCTCAATAACGACGATTTCAAACGCCTTTATTGAATTGCTTTCTTTAGATAGTCCAAGTTACACCAAAAAGTGTCCTCCCAGTGTCTCCCCTCTACTCAGAAAGTAGTACGGTTCGTCTTCAGCCTTTTAGGATAGTGCATATATGATTTACACTTTGATATATTTTTTAGACCTTAGTATTATGGCATATCTGGGAGAAAATATGAAATCGAATCCATTTCAACTAAATGGCTGATAGGATAACTCCTGGAGACGTCGTGAAATTCCTTACATTTTAACGAGTACTGGTGACTTTAGGAAGGAACAGAGCTTGTAAACTGACATTTTGCATTCGTATCTGTTTTTTTTTTTACGATAACACCTGCCTAAGAAAAATATACGACATGATATATCACAGTCTAATAATAGAAAAGATACTCTTCGGCGATCCAAGCCAAACACATGGTTGTTGATGTCTTTCACTTTATAGGGCTACTAACATTAAATTTTAATTATAATTGTCTCCAAGCATTCGGATAGCTTGTCGGAAATCATACCATTTGGAAAACATCGTTTCTGATTTCATCCCCAAAGTTAAACAACGCTTGGGACCGTTTAGCACTTGTATGTGTTGCTGAAAAGGAATGCGGAGTACTGTTGGCCTTTTTTGTATCGCTGACACAATGGTATAATGCTAACCACCCACGCTGGACGTCTGGATTCAGTTCACTGCCGACGTCCTCCTAAATTTCGTCTACTTTACTAGTCGGTAGTGAAACTAGAAAAGAGAGAAGGTTGGACATTAGGCTCATAACCCTGCCTCATGAAACAACACCAGTGCTAATGGAACTTCAAACCATGAAGCACTGTGTGTTCTCCTCACAACCCAAGTAGTGAAAAGGTAAACATTGTCAACACCTTAATAATAACAGAGATTTACCATCGGTCATTCAGCCCATTTTCCTTTTAAGGTAGTTTTTTGGTATGAAATCGAGAATATACAGAACACTTCTTCAATTATTGAATAATTTCCATTGTAACACTAATAACGAAATATTCAGCGAAGAGACTCTTTTCAACGACGAATTTATTATCAAGCTGTACAATCGTGTATAAATATGCTGTTTTAAGAAATTATATCCCGTGAGGAAATTGAAACAAAGGTGTGAATACATAAAATAATAATAGTAGTAATATGAAATGCAAGTAAAGTGTTTGTGATTATAATCACTGTTAAATACCAAGTTTCAAGTGGCAAAACAAATAATATCGTATACAGAATAGTTCATAAGATATATAGATGTTAGAAGGGGGTGTTAAATTATAGGACAAATAGGCGAATATAAAACGTTCCATCACATGATGCGAAATGTGACGACAGAATTTAACATTGTAGAAAAATGTTTGATCATGATTGACAAGTGGGACAAGTGAAAAAATAATACTGGAAATAGTCCAAATTGAGGATAATAATATTAACAATAATAATAATATTTTTAGTAAAAGGGGAAAGGCACAGATTAACGAAATAAACAAAATGGAAATAAGTAAATGTTCACCCCTCTACGATCAAGGGACTCTACATACTTCTTCTGCACAAAACCTCTCGCTTTAATTCATGAATAACCAGGGTCTTTTCTGTCTTCAGAAGT